TTTACAACTTACATGTAAATTGCCTTGATTTCTCGTAGTGTTTAGTAGGCGTGTCTCATATATCATGACTAGTAGGTGTGTCTCAAATATTGTTACAATTGTGTTAGGTCCGCACTAGGTGCCCGGTATTGTAGCCTTCAGCCAAAATTAGAACAAACTTTAACATAGCAAGAAATAACCTGACTCTTTTACGGATCCTTCCTAATTGGTATCGCCTCGTACGTTCTCTAGGGTTATATATATATATATATATATATATATATATATATATATATATATATATATAAAAACACAATAGGAAAACTGTAACAGTTACCCATTCCTATTGTCTTTTACATTTATAAATAGTGTCTTTTTCTACGAGTTAACGCTGAGAAATTTTTCATATATATATATGTTCATATTTTTCATATATATATATATATATATATATATATATATATGTTAGCATAAAACTTACGGTTACATACCACAAAAGAAAACAACAAAACACCGTAACCACACTGACCACCACACAACCAATACAAAACAAAACAGACCAAATAAATACACCAACAGACAACCACCAGCACCCCAACCAACAATAACAACACCGCCACCATCAACGATAGCTAGAACCTCAAAACAAACACACGCACAAAACAAACCACTAACCTACGCGGACATCCTTGTGGTGCCGTACAAACATACACAAACCAAAACACAGCAGCCCTTCTACAGAACGCATAACCACATTAGACATCACAGACCCCCTAGATTAGCCCCTAGTAGACAATCAACAGCAAACACACTCAACCTTAAAAAAAAAGGAATAAGCCTCCAACCAGGACACCTGGATGGGGGTATATCATCCCTAATAGGAGATATGATGCAAGCTTTCGAGATATTACGAAAGAACTTCGCCATGCTTGCAAATTCAAACTTGACCCATACGGGCGAGTTATAAATTTCAATACATTCAGGGTATTAAATAAAGGACTAAGCTAAAATAAAGGTTTGATAAAGACACCTTGGCAAATCCTTCTTCAGAAGAATACGGTTAAAAGCCCACTACGGGAAAATGATCACACACCTTTCATACTTAATACATTAAAAGAGAAGGATGCTACACAAAACACATACATTACTATACAGATATTTGAACTAGCCGTAGCAAATGACATAAAGAAAACAATAGCACGTAAGCTGCCACGTGACAATATTACTGAAGGGTAACGTATAGCCCTCGATACGCTGACACATAGAGATGACCTAATCATAACACGAGCTGACAAAGGGAGTGCGACAGTGATCTGGGGAATCGAAGAATACATTAAAGAGCCCAACAAACAGCTAGCCGACAAAGAAACCTATAAAAGCTTACCTACAGATCCCCTTCCCGAATACCAAAAAGAATTAACTAGCTCATTAAACATAATGCTTCGCAACAATCTAATCGACAAGGAAACATGCACAACACTTACACCCACAGACATTACACCTGCTCGTTTCTATCTCCTTCCTAAAATACACAAAAGCAACAACCCAGGAAGGCCGGTCATTTCATCGTTCAACTGCCACACGACAAAAATTTTCAAATACATAGATCATTACATACAACCGCTAGCTTAGGAAGTAAAATCCTACATCAGAGACACAACAGATCTACTAAACAAAATTAATCACATACAAACTGTTCCAGAGAATGCTATTCTAGTGACTATGACGTTAGGACACTCTATTCAAACATTAAACACATCGAAAGGCTAACCGCTCTTCAGGAAGCACTTACTAAAAGAAGAAAACAAGACCCCCCCCCACAGAAGTTATCATAAAACTCATGGAGCATGTCCTTACATTGAATACTTTCAACTTCAATGGAGCACACTACCTTCAAATAAGAGGTTGTGCCATGGGCACCATTGCAGCTCCATCATATGCTACAATATTCATGGGAAAATTTGAGGAGACCCATATCTATCCAATCATTGGTAGCGACTGCGTATTCTATGCAAGATATATCGATGATATATTCTTTGTATACACGGATAGTGATGACAAACTTACCCAATTCCTTATGACCCTAAACACAGTGCACGACTCAATTAAGTTTGACTATGAAAAATCCACAACATCAGTAACATTTTTAGACACCTGCATTTACATAGATGAAAACAAGAAACTACAAACGACACTACACACTAAAATCACCGATACCAACAACTATCTACACTTTAAGTCTTCCCACCCCAAACACCTCAAAGAGAACCTTACCTATTCACAAGCACTTAGACTCAGAAGGATATGTTCCAACAATGAAGAATTAAATAAACACATTGAAAATCTGGAGCATCAATTAACAACACGTGGCTATAAACAACACCTAATCAGGGAACAAATAAATAAAGCAATTTCCACACCTAGAGAAGACACCCTAATGTATAAGATTAAAAATAAATCTAGCCGCATTCCTCTAAAACCACTTTCAACCCCGCTCTGCCTCCACTATCCCAAATAATCAAACGTCGCTGGGAAATGCTACATCTCAAACCAGACCTAAAATTTTTTTTGAGGAACCCGGTCTTCTTGCATATCGTAGACCTGAGAACCTAAAAGAAATCATAGGTAGTAACCACATTTCAGGGGACAAGGTAATCCATAATAAACTAAGAACAAAAACAACAGGATTTTTCCAACCATGTAACAACAAAAGAAGTTTATGCTGCAACCAAATTAAACACACGAATTCATTCACTAGCTCAATCACTAAATCTACTTTCAAAATCTACCACGATTCTAACTGTAGAAGTCATAGCATAATTTACCTCCTAGAATGCACACTATGCCAGAAATAATATGTAGGAAAATCTGAATGGCCCTTTCGACTCCCCATGAAAAATTATTACCTGGAGAACAACATTAAGTTCATCCTGTTGTATTATATCTGCTCCTTTTAACATTGTAATTTTAGTTTACGGCCTCAGAAAAACGCGATTTCAAAACCCATGCCAAATTCACTATAATTGAGAGAATAGAAAAGTTCCATGAAAATAAGTGGATACAACGTCTAAAAACACAATATCCAGCCGGGCTAAACCATAAATTTAACAATATAGATAGTACTAATATATAACTCAACAAATCAAAACCTACCCACATTTCTCACCCACACAAGACAGACATGCTTACGGAGGTGTTGAGGCATCACACTTATACACACACCCACACGAATATACACACTTACACGCATCATACTCACTCACTCACTAATTAGCCAAATGATAACACACACCCACAGCAATATACACGCTTACACATATCATACTCACTCACTCCCTAAGAACCAAATAACACACACACAAACACTTAACAGCGACACATCCTCTCTCCAGGAACAATAAAACTGTCAAACTGACCACGGGAATTCAGAGAAGCATAGATCTATCCAGCTCTTATCTCAAATAACAACTTAAAAGATACTGTTTGACCAACACAAGGAATGTTAAAAGATTCATGTTAAAAAGATAAAAAAATAAAAAAGCAAATGAAAACTACAGACAAAAGTTCATTTTCTCCATCAAGACATTCATTTCTGTAGTTCACTGCTACCAGCAAGCAGAAATATTTCTTCTCCTGATGATGGCCATGTTGGCCGAAACTAGTCGAGGAATCTAAATGAATTAATAATAAAAAAACGAAAGAATTTTAATCTACAACCCAGTGTGTCTGAAGATTTCAATTTTTAATTTTTTTTATTGTTCAATATATATATATATATATATATATATATATATATATATATATATATATATATATATCTTTGAGTCCTGATTTAAATATTATATCAATTATATTATTTGCCTACTCTTCGGGAATTTTTTTATCATCTCACTCTTTATTTGTGTCTGACCATCTTGATATCATAAATAGCAACAAATATCTATCCCTAGTTTTTGACCATTAATTCTTAATGGTGTAGCTAATCCATCTGTGTGTGGGGGGTAGGGGGTTGTACGAACTTTCAAGGCGGGGTAGCTCAAAATTTCGGAGTAGTCAAGTGGGCACTGTAGTTTTAACAAGGCAGAACAATAAGATAATTTTAACTTTTTAACGTATTTATTTATTTTGTCTATATATTTACATTTTTAGACGTATTTTACTTTAATTCGGGAAATATATTAGAATAATCCAGAATATTTAACAAAACGTCTGCATACCGACACAAAAGGAATTGAGAAAGTACAGAACAAAAATTGTCGAAAGACAAGGGTTAACCGTTTCTCCGGACTTATTCAACCTATACACCGATGTGAACTTAAGGGAATGAGTAATTCTACCAGGATTTATTTTTGCTAAACGCAACTTTAACACAAGATATGAATATGACAACGTATTAATGACTGGCAGAGAAATTACATCTGCTAGACAAGTGAGTAAAGGAGAACAGGAAGTAAGGTCTAACGATCAACTGAAAGAAGGCAGAAGGTATAGACTTTGTGAAGAGTGAGAGCACAGATAAAAAATACAGAAATTTAACTATGTGGAAAATGGAATAGCTAAAGATGCCTTGTAAAAACTAAGTAAAAGATTAAGAAACAGGAGAAATTGGCTGAGAACAAAAATAAGAGTGCTCATATATCATGGTTGTGAATACTGGTCAATTTTCCGATAGATGGACAGGCGACTTGAAGCAAGAAACATATGTTTCTGCAGAAAGATGTTGAGAGTTCCATAAACGGAGAATGTAAAAAGAGAAAGTTTAAAGAAGAAATACAATGAAAAGGAAACTTTTCCCTAGAATCAAAGACAACTGAAATTTCTCTGATATCTAATGAGGAAATAGGGCTTGGCGAATTTGAAACTCACAATAAAAGTTAAGAAGAGCAGAAGGTAAGGGCGAGTAACAGAGCGAGATTGTGTAAATGGATGGCTGAACAAGGAGAGATGACATACAGTATTAGACATGCAAAGGGTAGAAGATTGTATAGAACCATGACCGTCTACATAATGAAGAAAGAGTGCTAGAAGAAGAAGAAGAAGAAGAAGAAGAAGAAGAAGAAGAAGAAATTTGGGAGGAAGAAGAGGATGGAGAGAGAAGAAAAAGGAGGAGGAGGATGAGGAAGAGGAGGGAGGGAAGAAGAAGAAGGGAAGGAGGAGGAAGAGGATGGAGGGAGAAGAAAAAGGAGGAGGAGGAGGAGGAGGAGGAGGAGGGGGAGGGAGGGAAGAAGAAGAAGAAGAAGAAGAAGAAGAAGAAGAAATTTCATTTGGGAGGAAGAAGAGGATGGAAAGAGGAGGAAAATGAGGAAGAGGAGGAGGATGAGGAAGAGGAGGGAGGGAAGAAAAAGAAGGAAGGAGGAGGAAGAGGATGGAGGAAGAGAAGAAAAGAAGAGGAGGAAGGAAATTTGGGAGGAAGGAGGATGGAGGAGGGGGAGGAGGATGAGGAAGGAAGAAGAAGAAGAAGAAGAATGTAGCAAAAAAAAAAAAGGAGGAGGGGGAGGAGGGAAAAAAGAAGAAGAAGAATGTGCTTTTAATGGTTTAAAATGCTGAACCCCCCTGCTGACCTTGACGCTTCCCGCCACAGCTTACTTCCGGTGATTGTCAATGATTTAATGGAATAAAACGTAAAAACATGACGTTAACACTGTTGTATAATATCTGCTCCATTTCACATTGTAATTTTAGTTTTACGACCTCAGCAAAATGAAACACCAGTTTTCGTAGGACCATCGAAACCTGGTCACAGTAGTTGCATGGGTGACCGATTGGGAATACCACTGGGTGTTGTAAGCTTTGCCTGTGCTGCTGCTATAATGGATAATAGCCCGCAATCGTTAATCAGGGAGCCGAGTTCGATTTCTAATTGACTTCATAATTTTACTTACGGATCTCACCCCACCTCATATTCCTAATTTTTATATTTTTTAATTAGAATTGTCACCATTTTTCGCCTCTATTCACTTTGCGAAATATATATACATATATATATATATATATATATATATATATATATATATATATATATATGTGTGTGTGTGTGTGTGTGTGTGCGTGCGTGTGTGTGTGTGCCTTTGGCATGTTCTTTATGTTTTATGTTTTTAAAATCATTTCACCTCAAGCAGGTTTACTCAATCTGGTAGAAACGGATGCAACAATAAAAGAACCGTTATCACGATAACGATTGCAGTTAAATTTCTGGAAATCTTAGTTGGATAAAAGATAGAGATCGTTGGCAATAATCTCATATTTCCTAGACTTGCCAATTTATCGTTTAGACTCAGATCATGAATTAATGATACCCGTATCGTTGGAAAATAAAATTGTTAATTGATATCTGCTGATCTCCAATGGAATATCAATTGATGACGACCGTCATTTAATTTTGTCCATTCGTCTATTTGTTTCATTCCTGATGTTTATAGGATGCTTTATGTGAAGGCTTACTATAAAATTGTTTTTCAAATTCATTTGGTTGCAGGGCAATAATTAACAGATTTAAACAATGATGATTACCTTAGTCTAAACAAACGAAAAGTGTCCTTCTTTTCAATAGATTTTAACGTTTTCTTCCAATATAATATTTAAAACATCTTAACAAAAACTAAGTTGACTGGACTGATTTGACGTGAATCTTTGTGGAGCTATTTAATCTCAAAATTGGTGTTTTCATATTAGAGTTCATAATAAGCATTACCTTTCTTCGGAAACAGGTAAATATTTGTTGATTATATATGCGACTGCAAGTACTTATCCATCTTCAGGGAAATGGACAGGTGTCGTACTCTAGGACACGTAGACAGACCGATCTTAAAAAGTAGTTTTCCTTAACAAAAGTCGACACAGGAGCTTTTTTTTTTGTGGGTGTATGTCTAAGTAATTATTTTCATCATTTTCCGACATTAAAAAAACTAAATCTGGAAGACCCATATATACTTCGATAATTTAAGATTAATTCTTTTTAAAATCCCCAAATCTATACCAAAATCAGCACTAATGTATTTTTCAGACAATAACCCGTCCCTTTCATTCTAGATTCTGATTTAAATTTTAAATGAAAAGATGAGACCGTCTGGCACATAATTATTGTCAATTATTCACATTTTTCTTTTGTTTATTGCCGACACTTATTAATAAACTAATTAAATGTAACCGTATCGTCAAAATGTCGGCAATGGTTACGAAGCCTTAAGAGTGACAATAAAAGAAAATTCTTGAAACAATGTAATGAGATAAAAAATACACAACAAAAATAGAAACCAAGGAATTGTTTAATTAATCCGTTCTATTTATATTTTTAGACTTTAAATGATATCTTTCATTTGTTGTTTACACTTAGTATTATATAAATCGCTTTGTACTCAATAGCTATTCATATTAAAATTTGTTATCACTTTAAACGTCATTTTTAGTGAATGCTTGTATTTGACTAGACGCTTCGTTTATTTATTCAACAATATATTTATTTATTTTCGTCTACCGGCCTAAATGTTAGCGCTCTCTGATAGGAATTAAATCTGCGTCCCCCAGGGCAAAGGATAATACCGTTTAGCCCGGCACGCCCTGACAGACTTGGCCTCGTAGAACTATTGATCAGACAAGGCCAAATTTCGTGCTTTCAATGGAAATTTCTCCTGTCATAGATCTCACGATTTATTTCATAACCCTACAGATTCGTATCCAAACGTAAACAAAGATAATAATAATCTAACAAAATGTTATTACTTTAAACTTTATTTTTAGTGTATACTAATGTGTTTAATATAACAATGAAAAAAATATCTCTCGGAAGAAAAAGATTAGCCACAGAACGACAAAGACTGCAACGACAAAGCCTCTTTCAAAACAAAGTTGAAGTAAAACTATAATCTAATAGACAAATATATCTGAGTGCCTCACATGAAAGGCTTGAACAAATAAGACTGCAATCTAAGAAACATAAGAATAAAGGAACTGATTGGCTAAACGGTTCATTTTACTCGAGAACTAATTTTGTCTATATTGTGGTGTCCTTTCTCTAAAGATTCTATGTTAGCCTCTTTTGCCTACTATAAGATTAGTAGGAGATTAGGCCTTGAGGAACAGTCGAATAGATTTAACGCTGGGTCAACCGACACACACTCACTATTCGTATAATATTCTTCCGTTGTACTTACTGTTTAACATATGATATATCTGCAACACTTGTTTTGTTATTTCTTTAACCATTTACTTGGTCACAACAGTCTAAATGCAGATAAATATTTTGTTTGTATACATTATTAAAACGACTAAGGGAATTAATCAGTCATAAATTTACTAACTTAGAATTATTTACTTCCCTTGCCACTACAGAGAAGACAGGAATCATATAAATAAATAGACATTTAATCTTTTGACATTAAATAACTAGTGTTGTCCCATAAGAATTGTTATATTAGATTTTTTACTAAATCTTCACCCAATACAAGGCTCAAGCACCACTCAAAGTAGTGCGTTAATAGATGAATTTGTTTTATGGACATAAGAGAAAGAAGTAAGTACTTTCTGGAGCAGTATAAGAAACCGATCATTTTTTCTAGATACTTTAGTGATGGGTCGTATATATGAATTAGATTTGAGATCAGGACTGAACTTGAGCCCCAAGTAGACGCTCAAAGCAAGAAGTATCCTTGAAATTGTAACCATTCATTGAGACTCGTGAGAATTTAGAGTCAGCTCCGTGGTGATGACATATAACAAAATTGAATTTTCCTGTATTCACTGCCATATAAGAGGATTGATATTACAAAGCAGTTCAGCACTCTTTTCTTTGTTTCTAATCAAATTTTCCTATTTATTAGTACTTTGTTTAGCTTTTGGAAGGTATCTTTCCCAATTCCAGTGTGCATTCGGATTTCTTTGGAATGTTTTCTGTACATAAAACAAAACTAGTTTATGATAGCTCGTGTCAGTCTAGCGATTACAAAAAAGGACAGATTATATTTTTTTTTTAAATAAGCTGATAATTTATATGTCAGCAATCAAAAGCGTGATCATTTTGGAAGAAAGGCATGATATTTCAGTAAATCAGCGTGATACGATCAAGGGTTTAGTGCATGTAAAGATGAAAAACAAAAAATCTAAACTTTAAAGTCATGGTTTCAGGCATTGAATTAAGTTTTCTTTTTTATTGGGTTTGACACTTATTTTTATTTACAAATGAAATCAAGAATCTTTGTCCCATAATAAATGTTACATTTACATAATCATTTCTATACATTAAACGTGCCTCTTGTTTGAAAATGAAAGGTAATTCATCACAGAGAAAGTATATATATATATATATATATATATATATATATATATATATATATATATATATATTTATAAAAAAATATAACATAAGTATGTTATAATTTTTTTATAAATAATAACTATATCTGCTCTACTTTGTATTGAGCACTCTTTTAAGAATAGTAATTGTTGGTTATTGGAATTCATTCCGTATATACCAATTATATACTATATATATATATATATATATATATATATATATATATATATATATATATATGCGTGTGTGTGTGTGTGTGTAGAAATTTATCAACAAAGCACCCATAGTTTTACTTACACAAGTGCGGCGCCTTATTTGATTAATTTTAATTGAATATCAAGAAGTTGATTATAAGCTGATTATTATGAAAATAAAGAAGCATAATATTTCTATATTATTCAATGAAACATGTTTTAATGAATATGTACTACTTAAATTTTTATATATATATATATATATATATATATATATATATATATGTACACACACACACAACGAGAAACAAGCTAAAATTTGGCAGCATATGAATGGAAAAGAAAACGAAAATTAAACGATTAAAAAAGTGCATTCTTTAATTAAAAAAATAATGAAATTATTCCATTTAAAAAACATGAAAAACAATAGATCAAAAGATAAATAAAAGCCTATTTTTAAAAATTGTTCAGCGTGCAACCGTCTATATATTGGCAGCTATGTAGTATATTAGAAAAGTTTTATAGCAAACGTTGCTTATGACATGCTAACAGGTAAACCAAACTTTCATGTTATATTATTCCTTTTTAATTTCACGACAAATGTTGCTTTCACCGGCCGTTAGAGGCACAATTCGCTTTCAATCGATCTCCGTCGCCAACGACACTCAGGATGCAAAAGTTAGACAATCGCATGCAATCTATTATCGAAGCCAAAATCAATAATCAACATGCATGTACAAGAGACTGAAAAAGAAGTTGTATAAATTAATAATTATACCATTTGTAACAGAGTATTAAATTAGTGTTTGTTGAATTCATTTATTTGAAATCATTTTAATATCTAAAGATAAGGACAATAGTCCGAATAATGTAAATAGTGTACATAATACCCCATCTCAGAAATATCGACAGATACTGAAAGGCCGAAATGTTGTAATAAATATGGCGACAAAGATGAGGACAATAGTCCGAATAATGTAAATAGTGTAATATTTTAACACTTTTATTGTCATAGTTTTATTATAATACCCTTATAATTTT